AATTTAAAGAAATTCACTGAAATCCATTAGGGGCCTCATCACTCCCCCTACCTGCCACCAACCCAATTTATAATTTAGACCTGCCTGGAATCTCTAGTTTGTCAGCCTCTCTGGTTATTCTTAGACTATTTTCCAATTTTGCAAAATTTACTTCTCTGCTTCAGTATTGTCAGTTAAAGTGACATTTCCCTGGCTCAAATTTTTTTTGCAGTGGGTGCATTTTGCTTAAGATTACTCTCTTGAAAGCCATGTTGCATCTGTGTTTTTTAAGAGTGGCTTGAACTCTCACATCCTCAGCATCTAAATATTTCTATACTGCACTTGAAGGCTGCTGACTGCCTTCTCCACCCCTCACTTCCCAACAGTGCACAGACCACATGCACATACACACCCATGGGGGCTGTACAGAGTGATGGGCACTAAGTGGCAGCCATCCAGAAGTATCCGATAGACCAAACTAGAAAGGATGATGGGGCCAAAGTGCCAGTGCTACACTGGATAAGGCAAGGTTTCTAGAGGCACCTTCCCCATTTGACAGCAGTCCTCCAGTGCCTAGGAGACTGTGGGGTCCTGGAGAACAGTCCACTTCTTCCAGGCTGAGTGACATTGGATTAAGTGACAACTTCATCCTGTTTACTTACCTCAGATGGATTTTTGTTAAGCTCACATAGATTCTGTACATAAAACCCCTAATGTGCAGCAGGAATCTGGCAAGCATCAGTCCCTCAATTCCTTTCTCTGTCTTTGAATGCGTCCCCAGTGCCCTGCCCAGAAGTCTGCACACAAGAGCTTGCCAAGGAAGGACACCTGCCTACTAAATATTTCAACAGGATCCTCACTTAATTCACAATTACTGAAAAGCTATGTGCAATGATGTATTATATTTGGGAGCATTTGCGATTTAAAAGATATTATCCTGAAAGTAACACCAACCAGAAAGACAGATCACAGCACGGCAGCAAATGCTGGCCTAGTACTCGCTGTGCCAGGCTCTAGGTGCTTTCTATTTATTGACTCATTCAATCCTCACAACACTTTGCCCAAAGTACCATTATTATTCCTACTTCACAGATGAGGAAACTGAGGCAGAGAGGTTACATGACTTGTCGAAATCACAATGCCAGTGGAAAGGAGAGCCACAGGTCTGGATCTAAACTCATAATCACTATTCTATACTGCAAATAGTTGCCTTCTATTTTTTGTTTGATGTTTTCAGATATAGGAACTACTTAAAATTCCCAACAAATTAGTTTATATCAAAGAAACAATCTATGCTGGCCTTCGGCTAAAAAAAGTAAATGTTTGTAACATATGAATTACCAATGAAGCTTTAACATTCTATATCAAGAATCATTAATTCATGAGTTAGTTTTACGAGAAAGACTAAACTTTATACCTCCTTGCCCTAAAATCTAAGGCACACTTAGGGTTCACCATACCTCTGGCAACCATCAGGCCTATGTCACTGTTATAAAAATTTTAGGAAAGAATTTCGTTCAGTCTAGGACATGGATACTACAAGAGTTCGCAATAACCTGATCTCTTTTATTTTAAAAGTAATGAACATTACTTGTATATATATTCCAACATATATTCCTTATATATTTCAACATATTTCCATGTTGCCTAGCTTAATATTGCAAGGTGATTAAGGACATGAGTTCTAAGTCTGATCTGTACTGAAAACATGGTGCCACCACATAGGTTAGATTGTGGCTGTGGTCTAGTCACCCAACTTCTTTAGGCCTCGAGTGCTTTGTCTATAAACAGAAAGTCTTCATAAAAGCTTTCTGTGAGGATGCTCAGCACACACACTGCCATTTCCCACTGCATGTTGGCTTCATCTGTTCTCACTGTTCCTATAACAGTAAGAGCCCAGTTTTGTCGGCAACACACAAGTGGAGAACTTTCTTTCTGAAAGGCTCTGTGGCATGGAAAAATGAGCATCAAATTTTGAGTCATTTAAACCTGAATCCCAGATTTGAACTTGAGTCTTTGTTTTCTCAAGTGAACACGAGCTAATGCTCACTC